CTCCTCCTCCTCCTCCTCCTCCTCCTCCTCCTCCTCCTCCTCCTCCTCCTCCTCCTCCTCCTCCTCCTCCTCCTCCTCCTCCTCCTCCTCCTCCTCCTCCTCCTCCTCCTCCTCCTCCTCCTCCTCCTCCTCCTCCTCCTCCTCCTCCTCCTCCTCCTCCTCCTCCTCCTCCTCCTCCTCCTCCTCCTCCTCCTCCTCCTCCTCCTCCTCCTCCTCCTCCTCCTCCTCCTCCTCCTCCTCCTCCTCCTCCTCCTCCTCCTCCTCCTCCTCCTCCTCCTCCTCCTCCTCCTCCTCCTCCTCCTCCTCCTCCTCCTCCTCCTCCTCCTCCTCCTCCTCCTCCTCCTCCTCCTCCTCCTCCTCCTCCTCCTCCTCCTCCTCCTCCTCCTCCTCCTCCTCCTCCTCCTCCTCCTCCTCCTCCTCCTCCTCCTCCTCTCCGTCTCCTCACCTACTCTTTGTAAAAAAAAATAATATTAATAGGCCTACTACTAGTACTACAAATGATGATGATGATGATAATGATAATAATGATAATAGTAATAATAATAATAATAATGATAACAATGACAATAATAATAACAATGATAATGATATTAATAATTACAATAATAATATTGAATATAACAACAATAATGAAAACAATGATAAAGATGACAATGATGATGATAATGAGAATGAGAATAATATTAATAGAGAGTAAGTAAGTGAGTAAGTGAGAGAGAGAGAGAGAGAGAGAGAGAGAGAGAGAGAGAGAGAGAGAGAGAGAGAGAGAGAGAGAGAGAGAGAGAGAGAGAGTATTTTTTCCGTCTCCATCGTGAATATATAAATTAACTGATACAGAAATAAAGCAATAACAGACAACAATCCGGTGACGGTTAGAAACCCCAAACCATAAATAAAACAATAATCAAAAGACACATTAATAAAGACGGAAGACAGAGAGATAGATAGATAGAGAGGGGGAGAGATAAAGAGAGTGAAATAAAAAAAAGAGAAAAAGAAAAAAAGAGAGAAAGAAAGAAAAAAAAACATAAAACCCCAAAGAAATACAGTAAATATTCACGTCACAAGTTAAAGCACCCATGCAACACCATCATGCACTATCCACATATCAATTTCACCTCCAAGTCAGCATCGAGAAACGTAATGAAACAGACGAACTGGAAATCATATGAGACAGTATAATACCTTTCATAAGACACGCTTGGACTCACGTGTTAAAAGGGACCGTCGATTAATTCACAAGGAGACAGTCACTTTCTTTTGTTTCTACTTCATTTTTCGGTCTTCTTTTTATTTTTTTTTATTTATTTTCTATTTCTTGTTTTCTTCTTTTTCTTCTTCTTCTTCTCCTGTTCTTGCTCCTTTTTTTCCTGTCCTTCTCCTTTACCTTCTCTTTCTCCTATTCCTCCTCCTCCTCCTCCACCTATTCTTTTTCCTCTTCCTCGTCCATCTCCTCCTCCTCCTACTTCTCCTTTTCCTCCTCCTCCTCCTTTCTCCTTTTCCTCTTCCTCCTCCTCCTCCTCCTACAGCTTTGTAAAAATTAATTCACGTAAGATTACACAGTACACTACCATCACTAATGACAACCATCCTACACTTAATCCTACGAAAGACGCAAACTTTTTCTTGCGGGACGTTTAATCTCAGGCAGGAACTCGAGGACGAGGCCGAGGAAAGCCTTCTAGGGCGCCGGGATCTCCATAGAAACGGAATGAGAACAGAGGGCGTCGCGAGTGAGATCTCAGAGGGGAATATGCAGGGGCGGCCAGCCGTGCCGTGCGTCGCTTGGCCATTTTCTGATGGCCTCTGCTGCATGCTGTCCTTCATAGATATATAAATAAATAAATATAAATGTATACACACACACACACACACACACACACACACACACACACACACACACACACACATATATATATATATATATATATATATATATATATATATATATATATATATATACACATATATATATATGTATGCACACACACACACACACACGTTGTTCCCCAGGGCAAGGAACATGAATCCACGGTTAGCAGGTGGTGGATTTCAAACAAGAGGAGAGAGTACACTCAGTGGCTGAAGCACGCTGAGTAATATTAATAATGATAATATCAAAGAGGATAACAATGATAATGATGATAATAATAATAATAATGATTACTTGTCTAGTATGGACACTGCTACTGAAGAAAGCAACGGGAACCTACTTCAGTACCTCTCCTTGGTTCAGTCGATGATCAGATCTTGCTTGGAACAGCGTGTAGTCATAAGGGACAGATAGTTCATGGGTCGCCATCGTCAAGCTGACGCGGCATTACAAGAAGAATAACATATATCTGTGTGTGTGTGTGTGTGTGTGTGTGTGTGTGTGTGTGTGTGTGTGTGTGTGTGTGTGTGTGTGTGTGTGTGTGTGTGCGGGCGTGAGATAGATAGATAGATAGATAGATAGAGAGAGAGAGAGGGAGAGAGAGAGGGAGAGAGAGAGAGAGAGAGAGAGAGAGAGAGAGAGAGAGAGAGAGAGAGAGAGAGAGAGAGAGAGAGAGAGAGAGAGAGAGAGAGAGAGAGAGAGGGAGAGAGGGAGAGAGGAGAGAGAGAGGGAGAGAGGGAGAGAGGAGAGAGGAGAGAGGAGAGAGAGAGAGAGAGAGAGAGAGAGAGAGAGAGAGAGAGAGAGAGAGAGAGAGAGAGAGAGAGAGAGAGAGAGAGAGAGAGAGAGAAATTACGCGTGATGAGCATTGACAACAGCTTTCAAAAGGAAACATGTCGCAAATAAATTTTCGTGGCTATTTCGGGCTTCATTATCAAGATATTTGATAAAGTTTCGTAACTGGTAAGGTTTCATGAAGGAGGTTGCTGCTAAGAATGGACGCATCGGGAATTTTCTAGTAAAAACTGCCCACCATTTGCCGGTTTATCCTCTTCGAAAGGGTTATATGATAACAGTGATATTAATGATGATGGTAATGATATTGATGATGGTGATTATGATGATGATGATAATAATAGTAACGATAATGATAATAATAATAATAATAATAATAATAATAATAATGATAATAAAACAATGATAATGATGACATTAATGATGATAATACTAATACTAATACTAATACTAATAACAACAATAATAATAATGAAAATAATGATAAAAACATTAATAACCATGATAATGATAACAGTTACAATACCAATATTGACTGATAATAAATCAATGACAGGGACCTTGCAAGGTTCACACAACAATCCAATAACATTAGTTAAAAGAAATCATTAGAAATCATTAGAAAAAAATCACCTGCGAAAAGCTAAAACTTTTTCAAAATATTTCACAGAGGTCACTTTATTCTCTATTGCCATATCTATCAGAAAATAATGAAACTTACAATACTTTAAGATCAATATGCCAGCATCGGAAAAGAAAGAAAACGGGAAATGGGGCTTTTAAGCGGATACTTAACTTTTTTTTAAGCAGTACCCCCTTTCATGATATGATATAACTCTCACTCAAAGTAAATAAAACAAACTGAACATAAAACTGGCTGTGGCTGGGCATGGGTGGCATCAAATACAGTTCATCTGTGCCAGAGACAGCGCCAACTAATAATATGCTATCGTACAGTGTGAAACGTCTCTACTTTGTTTGGGTTTAATGAAAAAATAGAATATTCAGTTATAAACATAGTGAGAATAACATATACAGTGATAATAATAATAGTAATAATGGTAATAATAATGGTAATAATAATAACAATAGAATAATAACAGTGACAATAACAATAACGATATCGATAATGATAACATTAACAATAGTAATGATTATTATAATAGTAGTTAAAATTATCATTATGGTAATAATGATAATAATGCTAATGCTAATAATAATGATAATAATAATAATAATGATGATAATGATGATGATGATAATAATAATAGTAATGATAATAATAGTAACAATACAAATTATAATGATAATAATAGTGATTATTATCATTAACAATAATGTTA